AAAAAAAAAAGGTTGAGAGGTTAGAGGGTTGACATGTTGTGGGGTTGTTAACCAATGTCATAAAACAATATGTGTACTACTGTTTCATGAGAAACTTTTTTTCTGTAAGCCTTCACCTGAAGTACAATTAAGAAAAAAAAAAAGAGTCAGACTCTTTATTACATCTACCCTTATTATTCTCTGTCACATCACGTTTTTCATGTTCTTCCTAGGTTTTAATCTGTGTGTGGTATAGTAGCTGGGAAGTGTGTCTATTGTAGGTTAGTTACGGTGGCCATAAGTGAGGTGTGGGGTCAATATTTCTATTCTAAACTAGCTTCCCACTGGAAACGTCCATATGCTTCAAGGAGCTCAGGATCTTACATCCATCTGTACTGAGCTTAAATATCTACTGTAAATTGTGTTCAACTTACTGGAAAATTTGTTCATTGAAATGCCCAGAAATTCACACAAGAAAATCTGAAGTATGAAATTGTTACCAAACTATTGCAAATTGCTTCCTTGCATATATGGATACGTGTTGAAAGGAAGTCCATTTCAAAATAATTTTTATTAAAGATTTTTATGTAGCAAAACCGAATTTATTTTCCAAAGCTTTTAAATACACTAAGGTCACAAGCTTACTCTTCTAACTTTGATCCTTATGTCCCCATCAAAATTAGTTTAAAGGCTGCCACTGAGTCCCTCCTAAGGCCCATACAGTTACCTGCCTTAATGGCTCTTTTCTATTAGATAACACACTCTACAATTAAGCAGGGAAGTATTAGATGTATTGGAGGAAATAAGAAGACAGAGAAAAAGCTGTTTGTCCAAAGCCATATCATTCATCAGTGGCAAAGCCCATCCCAGGTAATTCTGGAACCCTCTATTGTACAGTAGCTATTAGTTCGTTAAGTTGTTCTTAAATTAGAAGTCTGGTAGGGACTGAAGGTAAAGGTCATAGTTAAGATATAAGTGTATCTTACCTGTTGCACCATTGTTGCTTATTAGACTGCTTAGGATATACTCTGCTTTTAAAAGTTTCCCTGAAAAAAAAAATCCAAACGCCACACAATTAGTTCTGAACATTCTACAGATCGTTCATGCTCTAAGTTTGACACATTGTACCAGGTACCATTGCCTCTCTTAGAAACCTTTTATTTTAAATTTATAATGAGTAACAATATCATATATGAAACTGAAAAAGAGAGATGAAGTTTTCAGAAATTGGTAAGGTGGGAAGCTGTACAGTATCTGAAATGGTAATTAGATTCTAAAAAAAAAGATTTCTGATTTATCATATAGAGCAGGGCTTCAGTAGTAGTGACAAACCTTTGCAAAAGACTGTGTCTGCTTTCCGTAGAAGATAATATTTAGATGGGTGGAATAGAGTTGCCATGAACAAGATTATTTACAGAATCATCAGGAAGGTTGTTGGGGTAGGGGTAGGGTGGGAGAGAGGTTCTCGCTAAACTTCTTATTTTTGTTACTACCTCATAGAAGAGCCCTGATCTAAGGACAACTGTTATTTATTTATTTAATAAGTAGAAAACATAATAAATTTTTTAATCCATCCCTTTTTACAGTTGCCTCCAAGGCCGTATATGATCTGGCCCCTGTGGCTGCTTTGACCTCATCTCTAACTCTTCTTTCCCTCAACCTCACTGTCTCTATGTCAGTCACCGTGGTTTCCTTGCTATCATTTGAACTTGACAGGCAATGCTTTTATTCCAGATAGCTTCAAGGCTTGCTCTCTTTCTCTTCAAGTCTTTGCTCAAATGTACCCATCTGTTGATAGTTAAGATTGTGTGTCAACTTGGCTGGGCCATGATTCTCCGTGTTTTAATGTAATCACTCCCATGATTGAATACACTGTGAGTAGCCAATCAG